CTGCGGGGCTGCCCCCCCCCCACCCCAGAGTAGCGACATGGCGGGCGGGGGGGTTGTGGTGTGATGGGGAAGGGGGTGAGGTGCGAGGCTGCATTTTGAGGGGGGGTTATTAGGAGTGAGGCGGGACTTGGGGCTGTGAGGTGCAAGGCGGGAGGATTTGGSAGGGCTGTGAGGCAGGGGGTCTGTTAGCAAGGGTCGGGGCTTAGGGGGCTGCGAGGTATGTGGTGGGATTTGGGACTACGAGGCACAAGGCAGGGAGGATTTGGGAGGGCGGTGAGATCTCAGGCTGTGTTTGTTGTGCTGTGCACTGTGACGGGTGAGTTTTGGGAGTCCTGTGAGATATGAAGTGGAATATGRGGCATCTGTGAGGTGTGTGGGGCTCATAGGCAGGGGGATTTGGGTACTGCGATATGCAAGGGGGGAATTTCGTTGGGTGGGATTTCAGGGGTGCTTTTGGAAGCACGCTGGGATTTGGGGGAGAGTGTGCTGCAAGGCACAAGGCAGGGAGCAGAGGCAGGCCTGGCCGTGTGCCCAGCCACAGGCAGTTTCCCACAGGGCTCCCCTCAGTCATGGCCCTTGCCCGCTCTCCATCCTGCCRCAGGTGCTGCGGAGCCGCGGGTACCGCAGGCTGGTGCTGCAGACTGGCCGGGGAGCACAGGAGCCGGCCTCGCTCAGCAGTCCTGACTTTGTGCTGGAGACCTTCCGCTTCAAGGACTCGCTGGCCGAGGAGCTGCAGCGAGCAGACCTGGTCATCAGCCACGCAGGTAGAGCGCAGCGGCCACCGAGCGCCCTCAGAGCCTTCGCTGAGTGGGTAGACGTGAAAGTYAGGGGAGTGGGAAGCACCTGTTCTTATAAGGCACTGTGCTAGCATTAAACATTTAGGATCACAACAAGAGATAAATGGACTAAATGTTCAGGAGCTTCCCAAGAGACAGTCGGACAAAGTTTCTTCTATCTTTGCAAACAGTGGTCATGCTTTCTGTTTCTCCTGTAGGTGCAGGCAGCTGTTTGGAGACACTGGAAGAAGGAAAACCACTAATAGTGGTAATAAACGAAAAACTGATGAACAACCATCAGCTTGAACTGGCAAAGCAACTCCACAGAGATGGACATGTCCTCTATTGTAATTGCAGGTATGGAGTGGCTGTGACTATCGTGACTGTCCTGTGGTGTCCGGTACCATAGCTTGGTCATTACAGTATTAAGCATGTACCAAGTAAATTCATATCCTTCTCTGTGACAAAATCATRCTGACCAAATACCACAATTAACTTACCAAAGCAGTAAAGCAGAAGTAAATTGCTCCCTGTAGACTTAGTAAAATGAGAAAAACAAACAAAAAAAAAGAAATAGAGTCCTATGTGGACTTTCTTTGTGACGGTCACTAAAGATGACTGTATAGATACACCGTCATAATAAAAAAATTGAAGTACCTCAATATTTAGGACAAAATGTGAGAATGGCCTTACTGATTAAGATCAGGAGGCCTTATAGCTCAATAATCTATATGTGGTGGTCATAAACAGGTACCTAATAGAAATAAGAGCAGGGCAAGTGGGACTCTTCTATGACTTTTTCTCTAGTATTCTAATACCTCAGGGTTTTACTAAATCAGATATTTCGTTGGTTGGTTAGAAACTTTCAATCGTTATTCTTCATTATTGAAGCTACTCTCTTAAACAAACTCTGCATCCGCAGTATCCTTTGACAATGAGTTTCACAGATCTACAGCCTGTCTCTTAAACTAAAAAAAAAGCGCCTTCTTGTCTGTTGATCCTGGGCTCTGTTAGTTTCATTTGATGTTCTTTTAACTATAGCTTCCCATTTCTTTTCATGAATGTGATTTATGGCACTCTATAAATAATAGATGATCTTTAAATTGAAGGTAGGGGAAATGCAATTCACATTATTTAGTTTGCATCTTATTCCTTTGCCCTGCAAACAGTTCTGCTTGTTTCAGAAGAGCCTTCTGAAAAGACTAGGCCTTCTATTACTTTACATTAGGCAAGTTTCTTAAACTTATTTTTTGAATTCTTCTACCAACTTCAGAGGTAGGAAGGAATTTTTATTTCTTTGCTGAACAATTATTTACCTTGTGAGCCTTACTTGCACTCTGAAAATTGCAAGCTAAAGAATTGATTTCTGGCTACACGTTAAGTCAATACCTTTGCCATGTGTTGAAATAGGATTAATTTTGTAACACTGTTTATGGTCGTGATCCTCAAGCTTTATTCAGTTTGCTAATATTGCTTGTAATCACAGAAGATTAAAAAATAGAGCTGAGGCTACTTATGAAAGCTGTGATGTGCTTTGAAGCCTGTTCCTTCCTCAACATTGCTGCCTGTGATGGCTGGGCGCACTCTTTGAGTTTTTTTCTTCATTTCAATATATGTCCATATTTTTATTTCAAGGCTAAAAGATTATGTATGCATATGAATAGAAAGTAAGTTGTGTGAAGAAAAAAAAAAAAACACTGGGATGAGCTTCTTTTTATATTTGATTTGTTCCTACAGCACTCTTGTGGAGACACTGCAGTCAATGGACTTGTCAACTTTGAAACCCTTTCCTCCTGGACAGCCAGAAAAATTTGCTTTGTTTTTGGATAAAGCAGTTGGCTTCAAATAAATAATCAAGAAAATAAAAATATCAAAATAAAGAATAAAGTTTTTATTTTCCCGCTCTAGTGAGACTTTCTGTAATGAAAGAATCCAACCAACTGGGACAAAGGCTGTACATACCGACTTGAAGGAAATGTCTGTTAGCAGGAACTGACACTAAAACGTTTCCATTTAATTTCAGTTTAATTTCCAGCTTAAAATCATCTGGTTTTGTTCTTAAAAGGCCACAGTGTCACAGGCAGAGTATGGACTCCAACTTGGTTTTMGTTTCAGCCTTACTGAAAGATCATAAGGGCCACCAATGTGAAATGAGGGAGGGGAGGAAGCAAAATGGGACTCCTGGTCTGATAATGTTGGTTTGCTAACAAAGTGCATCCATTCCAGAGGAGCTGCTGATCAAGCCAGCAAGAGACATTGCAGCAGCAGTGAGAATAGAAATATATAACCTAAGGAGATTTCATCAATGAAATATGTGAAGTAATGTTACATTCAGCTGGAGCCCTGCAAAGGTAAATGTTGATAGCTGGGCAGCAGACCTAGCACTCAACTCCATTCATATTTATAATGTAATTAATAAATATGTAGGCTGTATCAAGATCAAAAGACTCATTTTAAAGAAGGAAATCATCCTTTGCAACAAAATTGCAAAAGGGAGAATCATTTTGTTCAGGATTCAAAGGAAAATGCACAATATAAAAATTCCATTTTAAGAGGTATCCTTTTTTTTTTTTTCTTTTTTCCCCCCCTTTCTATTTGGTAAAATCTTCATGTGGGTGACTGGTAGCACYGCAGCAGTGGTAAGAAGTGGTTTTTGCTTACTTCAGTAATGACAAGAGTCAGCACAAGCACATAAAAAGTGCCACTGATAAAAATTCGTAAGTTGTCAGGCTGTGACTTTTTTTCCCCAACTTAGCTGGGTTACAGTGACTGCAGAAAATATGTGAAAGCAATCAATGAAAAGTTTATCTTGCAGGATTAAAGGGTTGCAAAGAGATTTTTTTCAGAATCATGATATTTTTAATGTATAATATCTGCAACAGAATTTGTATTTCTAATCTTTTTTTTTTTTTCTGTTCACAAACTATTTTACTTAAAACAAGGCAGATGATAATGTATTTTTCTAAATAAACTCACTGAAAGGAGATAAACATTTTTTTTTCTTGGGTTTATATATATGGTTTGATCACATTTTAGAAAATACAAATGTCAAAGCTCTTTCAACACTGCTATGTTTGTAGTTAGTGTCCAAGGAAAACCTGCTCCTGAATGTTAGATGGCTGCAGACACCTGCCGGCCCACAGTGATTGCTTCCAGTTAGTGCCTTCAACCACTTTTGCACCTCTAGTCCTGACCTACCTTCCTTAGAATACACATCTCAAATTACAAATGAATTGCATTTGACTTTGTCTCTGATACAGCTGGAAGTGCAGACCTGCAGGTGATCCTACCAGACTGTGAAGAGAAAGGATATTGCTATAAAAATGACTAAAATAGTGACTAAAGCATTGACTAACATACATTACAACCATATGAACTGTATGTAATCAAGAAAACAGACTTTTCTGACCTATCTAACATTCACCTTCATGGCAGCACGGGCAATTAAAAGCATTTCCTAAGCTTGGAGGAATGAAGGCTCTCATCCTGCAAACCACTCCGCATTCCTTTATATTGATCACACTGAGCTTACTTGCTTCTCTAGCGCTCTCTGAAAACAAAACAAAACCTCATCCTGTGTCACAGGCAGGAAAACACATAGAATAACCCAGCACAAATACCAGGAGTTTACCTCAGAAAATCCTCCCAGACTTTATAATCCTGGCAAAGAGGCCACGCTGGGAATGACTTCTTAACAGACAGGACACACAGTCAATGCTCATGGCACATGGTGAGGCAAGCACAGGGAATAAGAAGCATGAGAGATTTAAACCTCTTTAAAAGAAAAGGGGAATGTGGTGAGTTTGGGTGAGAAAAGCCAGGATTTACTGAAAACCTGCAGCCAAATGGTCCCTCAAGTGACCTGCACGGTGTGTGAAGCACAACGCCTCGGGGCGCCCATTTAAGCGCGGCGTTCGAGAAGCGCTCCGGGCCGCGCTGTTGTGAAGCGCAACGGGGGCTGCCGAGCGCCTCGCGCGCGATGAGCCCCTCGGGGCCGAGGAGGGCCGGGCCGAGCTGAGCCGAGCCGAGCCGAGCCGAGCCGCCCCGCGCTGCTAATTGCGCGGCCCGCGGACAGCCGCGCCGCGTGCCGCGCTCCGGCGGGATGCGCGGGGGCGGCGCGCGCATCAGCGGCCCCTCATTAGCGGCCCCTCATTAGCGGCGGCCGCGCGCGCCGCCGCCACGCGCCCAGCGCCGGCCTCCGCTCCCACCTCCTCCCCGCGGGCACCATGCACAAGGGCTGGAAGAAGTACTTCGGGCAGAAGTCCCTCAGCGAGGTCACCATGGACGAGTACCTGGGYAGCCTGGGGCTCTACCGCAAGCTCACGGCCAAGGACGCCTCGTGCCTCTTCCGCGCCATCTCGGAGCAGGTGGGCGCCGGGCTGCCCCCGCCTTCATCCCCCCAAACACCCCCAAAAAATTTAAAAACGTTTTCCCCCCCTTTTTCTCAGCTGTTTTCGTGCCAGATCCACCACCCCGCGGTGAGGAAGGCTTGCGTCACCTTCATGAGGCAGCACCAGCGCAACTTCGAGTCGGTGAGTGCGCGGGCACGGGCCGCCAAGGGTGGGAAGTGCTGCGAAGAGCTCCTTTTAGATGGTAAAACTGAAGGAGTTTGGGTCGTTAGGGTTAGTTCCTGCCGACAATGACTGCGTCATGTGATTGGATCCTTTCTTAATCCTTCWAAGATTGCGCACTGAGGACTTGTGTGTATGTGTATACATATATATACATATATAAACTTTTTTTGCTGCTGCTTATCTGTCACCTTTTGCCCACCKATAGCCATCCCGGGGTAATCAGAGCCATCTGGCTGTATCTGAASCTGTTGCTTAGACCAAACCACCCCCTCAATCCTGTGAGGGGTTGTTGGGGCTTAACAAAGGACAGCTGGGATGGGTGGTATTAACTTGTGTGTTAGTCAAGGGTGTTGTGTACTTTAGGATGGGGGAGGTGGGTGAATTTTCTTATTTATTTATTGTAGACTAACTGTAGTTCTCCTCATCTCCCAATCATTCCTCTGCCTTAAGGCTGGGAGCAGCTGAAGCAGTTTCCCACTTGTTTGAGTAGGACCTGACCAAGGACCCTCAAGCCTCTTGCTGTCTTTCCTGCCCAGCTTGCCACGGTGTCCTGTTTAACAGCTAGTAATGTTAACTGACATAGTGTAGTTGTGACTGTCATCTGGCTATGTTTTCTGTGTGGCCTTTTTTTTTTTTCCTCCTTCCTCTTCTTTTTTTGAAGTATGTGGAAGGTTCGTTTGAGAAGTACCTGGAGCGCCTGGGAGATCCCAAGGTAAGGCTGGCCTGATACTTGTGGAGGCATTAAAAGTTGAGGAGAAAAAAAAAATCAGGAAAGTAAATGGGTGTTGACTTAAAATGGTTTATTGTTACTTAGCTCCCGCTCATGGAGTTTGCATTGCATGAAAACACAAATAATAATAAGTAGTATTTAAACTATACCAACACCAGTGGGAGTTCATGTGCAAAGAAGCTATGTATACAGACTAGACAGTAAAGCCAAAGTCACTCTCAAGTCCCTTATTTATAGTTTCAGCTTCTCTCCAAGAAGATAAAGGAAAAATGTGTGAACTGTACTTCACAGCAAATATTAATTGGGCTTTGTAACCCTTTTCCTTTTCCTCTTCTCTGGGTTATTTGAATGCTGTATTTTGAAACTTTAAAGAGGAAATCCAGTGACTGCAACAAAGTCTGAAGCAAATGTACTGTGTTTGTTTAAAATAATTTAAAAAAAAAAAAAGGCATGAGTGCCTCTTTTAGCTACGAGAAGTAGCTGCATCTTTTGCCATCTGTGTGGTGACTGTGGCCATCCCCTGCTGTAGTTATTTGTGGAAATTTTTGTGTTGCTATTGAGGTGTTAGTCATTTTCTTTTTAACAAACTCATAGGTTTGGTTACCTATCCTAATACTGCAGAGAGCTGGTATACAGCTCCCAATATTGAAGAGGGTTCTACTATGTTGTGTAATTTCCTAATCTCTCATAGGAAAGTGCTGGTCAGCTGGAAATAAGTGCCCTGTCAGTAATCTACAAGTAAGTGTCACTTTCCTTCATAAATTTCACTGTGTTTTGGCTTGCAAAGCATTTATATTCTGGCTTTCTTTGCCAGACCTTTCCTAGTTTGCTGTACTCATGTTGTTAAACATGGTAAAAATGCCACCATGACCAAGTTAGTTTAGCATTTAAGTGGTTGTCCCCATGCCAAGCCCCTGTTGTGCCAGCAGTTGTGTGGATTATGGGGAGGGTCAGTTCCAGTGATGTTTATGTGGTGTCTTCTCCCTGGTGTTCAACTCTGGAGTCAAATATTTCTTTCCAGTAGTAGGAGAGGGAACATGTGACACAACTAGAAGCTGTGTATAGTGGAAACACTGTGTAGTAGTTTTAAGAATGGCTAAAATTCTCGCATATGTGTTCTTGAAAGCTCTAATAGTGAGGACTACTTGGCATATAAAACCTGAAACTTATTTGAAATGTAACATAAGCTTGCTGCAGATGTGGGCTGTCTTGCTAAAAGTGCTTATTAATGAACAAAGTCTGACCCTTCMGTGGCAGGAAGCAGCAGCCTGCCTTTGCAAACTGGATCTGTTGCAGTACTAAATGGACTTTCACAAGAGTTGATAGTCTCCTTTACTAAGGTGTTAATCCTTTCACAGAATATCTCCTAAGCTTTGCCATCCCCCTGGCTGAGCACTTTATCATAAAGATCKGAACTAATGCATGCTTTTGTTACTTGTGATTAGGTGCAACTGGCTTCTTAGTTCCCCAAGATGGGTGTAGTTTGCTCATCTAGCTATTGCTTTATGACAGCATTAATTTATCAGAGAAAGTATTATGCTTTCTGCAACCTGACAGCAGATTCTCCAAACATCTCCTTTCCAACTTTATCAKGCTATGGTTTACTGAAAGTGTGGTCTTTCAAGTTTTGTTTTTCCTCTGCTTACCTAGTCGAGACTTTATTCTGTACCGGTACCCTGGAAAGCCACCCACTTATGCTACCGACAATGGCTTTGAAGACAAGGTGAGGAGAAGTGAGGCAACTTCCTACCCCTGCCCTGCTCAGGTGTTCAGTCCTGCTGTTCGACTTGTGCTCTGGTAACTCCAGCAAAGAGTCTGCATCTTTGTGTACCTGAACAAAACTCAGAGCTGGTTTCATCTCATGGATAAGCAGCTGTTTGCACGACAGTTGATCAACTTACAGTAAGGCCTCTTTCCATCTGGGGGATGTATGCTATTCCTCTGCCAATTTTTGTTTGTTGTTTCAATTTGTTATTGGAAATAAGTTTAATTTTGGCAGAAAGAGGGAGCTTTTAGTTTCAGAATCTCCCAACTTGATCAGCTTTTATGTTTCTGAAATTCTGCTGACTAAAAACATTTCCTGTTGTCARTTTAACTGATCTGACTAGGTAGAATAAAACATCTGGACTGAGTTACTGAAAAGCAAAACAAGATAGATTTATCACATTGGTACAGAGAAAGTGTTCTCCATTGYCCCAAAGGTTTCTCTTTGAGAAGTCAGATGACAGGTGTGTTTCTTCCCTCTGAATAGAGGAAATCAATGGAAACACATTAATCTAACAAAACTGATGCATTCCTGAGAGGTACAAATTGGTCTCAGTTGAGAATTGGAGTTATTAGAGCAGCTTATCTTCATGAGGAAACTCTTGCTGAGGAAAAATGATCTTAAAAGAGAAATAATCTGTATAACTTCAATCTGAGCCCTCTCCCCCTCTCACTCCCCTACCCGCCCCCTTTTCCCCTTTGTGGCACTGTAAACATGTGCACACAGCTACGTGGTAGCTCAGATGAGAGCTAGGGCTGTTACTGTAATATGCATTTGAGGATGGGCTATTGTGCTTGCTGAAGTGGCTAGTCTGCTCTGAAATCTGTGCTGCAGCAGCTGTTCTGTCATGGGTTAGTGCTGCTGCCTTGGCTTGCTTGCCTGCCTGCACTTACTCTCCACTGCCCCTTTCTTTTCCAATGTAGTTTAATCCAAGAGGAACATACTTTAGGAGACTGCAGCATGGCCTAAATGCTTTTGTCCGAAAGGTTTTTACCACCAGAGCTCTGGGAGGTGTGGGCAGCTGTGTGCCATCAGACTACACGCACAGCAGCAGCTTTTCCTGAGGCTGCCAGCCTTGCTGAGAGGTGGTGGTGGCAGCAGGGGACAAAGCGCATCCCAAACAAGAGCCATGGCATCCCACCTGCAGCTTCCCATGAGGAATCCTTATGGGCACCATGCTGGCAGATAGAGGCTCACAAAGGGCTCCTGCCAGTTGGAGCTGGCAGTGCTTATGTGACAACCAGGGTCTTAATTTGTGTGTGTACATATATATATAGTGCAACAAAAAGCATGCATTGTCTCAAAAAGCAGCCTTTATGGACTGAGTAGCATCATATGAGCAAGGCTTTATTGAAACCAGAGTCCACCTAAAGATGTTATCCTTAGCCCTGTGGATAGGAAATTGCTCTTGATGTCTGGGCAGGGATTTGGCCTGTAATAGTTTGTGTTTATTTTCTCTCTTGAACAAATGTTGACTTCCCTGTTAAGCTGGAAACAATTGTTTTGTCTTTAATACAGCATGGCATACAAGTCAACAGTTTTTTGTTTGTATACAAAACAATTATTTATGAACTTTAACTAGAATTCAATTTTTAGATGGTTCTACAGGATTTTCATATTTAAAATGACAATATTTGTTTACTTGAATTTAGTTTTGGCTGTAGAATGAAAAACTTAGTTTTGAGTTAGGATGACTGTCAAATAGAGCGTGCTAGACTTGTATGTCATTCCATCCTAAAGGTTTTTTTTATCTTTCCAGATTTTACTGTGTTGTTCTGGCAATGGCCATTATGACTCCGTGTATACAAAACAATTCCAGGCAAATGCTGCTATTTGCCAGGGTAAACTTGAAACTTATTTTTTTTCTGTGGAAGAGAACTATGTCTTTTCGTACATTGCTAAGTAGAGTTTTGTTTTTGGGGGGATGGGTAGTGGGAGGGAGAGTCAAGCTCATTTATAATATAGCTTTATGTATGTATAATCCGTATACTGTCTTTGGAGTGGGGTATTGGGCTAGATGCCCCTGATAGAATAACGCAAGTCAAAAGGGATCTATGTTTCTCTCATTAATTGAATTTGACATAACTAGTGCCTTTTGACAGTATGCAATACCTGAAAATACATTTACTTTCAAAATTGCAGCTGTTCTTGTGCATGGGGTATTGTGTTAATTTGTTTGAGCTCTATGTTGATTTTTGTCCAGCTGTATTGTATGAGATCCTGTACAAAGATGTATTTGCCATGGATGAGGAAGAATTAAGGTCTGCAGTTGAAATGTTTCGAAATGGGTCTAAGAAGAACAGAAACAATGGCTGTATAGGAAGCGAGGATGCAAACTTCGATTGTCTTCCTGAAAAAGTATCAAAAGTCTCACCCGAAAAGAGGTAGTATTTGGGGAGCTAACATGGTGAAGGGGAAGCAAAAGAAAGAGACAGAGAGCTTTTCCTTTAGCTGGGAAGTGTCATGCAACTGAGCATCCTCTGCTGCTGGCTATGCTGCACTTGTGGGTGGCTCAGTAAAATGACAGCTTGCTTATAACCAAACTCCTTCCTTATGTCATTGCAATACCCCATTAGTGAGAAACTGTTAACTCTTCTAAGCCCTGTAGAGGCATTAAGTGCTCTTGGAAAGTGAGCTCTGTTTCTTTTGTTGTTTGTCCATTTTTTTTAACAGAACTTTTCTCCAAATAGGCAATTAAATGATGGCATTATTCATAAAGCTACTGTGTAGCTACTGTCTGTTAAATCACAGGGGTCTTGCAAGTGAGTGGGCAGAATGTACTTGTGGAAAGCCTTGTATCCCTGTGTTGATCACCCCAGGGTTCAAGGGGTGGCTGTACCTGTTACTGAGCACCTGTAGATCATGTTGACTTAACAGGGAACTGCTAGGCTTGTAGCACAGTACCTTGTGGYGCTCTTGCTGTGCGATCACTGTCAGGAGAATTTTGTTGACTGATTCTTATACAACACGGTGGCTGTTGTTAGCAGGCTGAGTGATGGAACAGGTAAAGTTTTTGTTGTTTTCTTGAAACTAGAAGACTCGCTGGCTTGCACTGTGTTGCAGTAAAGACTAGTTGTAAAAGCAAAATGCACCACTTGATGGCACCATGGTGCTTTTATTAGGCTGTGTGAACACTTGCTTGATTTTGATCCTGGTTAGAAATTGTCTTGTATCTCTTGTAATCTTATTTTGAATTTTATAGAATGGAAGACTGGGAAGGCAATGATAGTGACAACCTACCTGAGGAGAAATTTAAGCAAGGCACTGAGGAAACAAAGGTTTGCCAGCTAAGGAAAAATCCACCCCCATCATAAAATGTTACACTGATTGAGGATAAATCCCCATTTCCACTATGAAGGTTACTGATGGGGGTAGGGTAGAACCTAGCAAGCATTTCCTGGTCTGTTCTTTATGGCCTGACTCAGTTCACTTTCAGTTTGAACACTGTATAAGTTAATGTACTGGATGGCTTCAAAAACTCTTCAGAAAAAATGTTTTCAGACATATTGAATAGCTGAAATTCATGCTAATTGGGAAGTATCATGGCTTTGTTGGTCTTAACTAGCTTCCTTTTGATACTCTTGAGTAAAGAACATGCTAAGTGCTACTCTTGAGCTAATTTTAACCTTTCACAGTTTGTTTCTTCAGTTTATGAGCTGAAGAATCTGTGTGCATGTTCATATTTTTGAGCTTTATTATCAAAGCAAACAGAAGTGAAACAAGTTGGGAACATGGTGTGTGCACATGTTAAAATGATCTGCAGGTGCTGGTATGATAGGGGCTTCTGAGCATTTTACACTTGTTAATTTTAGTTGTTTCAACACTATTTTTAGCCTCCAGAAAATCCTTCRAAGATGCCTTTTCCATATAAAGTGCTAAAGGCTCTGGATCCAGAGATCTATCGCAATGTAGAATTTGATGTTTGGCTGGACAGCAGAAAAGGTACCTTTTAGTAGAAAGTTTTTATATTTTAAATTGCAATCAGGGTTAATCTTATGCAGCCATAGATGCATAAAGACCTCATAAGGTCTATGACATACCTCAGCTTAACTGAAACATGAAAGACAGTTACTATTTGAATGGGTAGTTGTCAGCTGTATATCCAGCGGCCACTAGTTTTTTGGGGCTTGATTTCGAACTACTAAATACACTGTTTTCATAAAGTTATAATCAGGTTGCTAAAAATCTGGCCTCTGACACTTACTGAGTGTGGTGTAGACAGAATCAGGATTTGAAGTACAGTACAAAACAGAATTTTGCTTTATATTACTTTCATATAAGGAATCATTGAACTTGATTTTTTTATCATATTTGGGCATGCATCTGTGCGAGGACTCCTGCTTTTTATACAAGCTTTCAGCTTTAGTGTGTATTCTAAGGAAGGTGTCAAGCTCAGAGTTGAGATGTGCCAAGTGAGATGAGTTGTCTCTTTTTTTTTCCCCCCGTCAACTCTATAAGATGTAAAGATCTTACCAAGAAAGATGAGTTTGAGGAGATCAGACATCCCCTAAACACCCCAGTTCCTCCATGTACTGATAAAGYCAAGCATTTTACAACTGCACAAGTGCATGTGTAATAATGAGAGCCATTGAAGTTCTTGGAACAGAGTATAGTAACTAATTATCTTTGTAAAGTACTGATGTGCAGAGGTTCTGGGCAAGGAATGAAGAAAAGCCTGTTGAAAACTGGCAGCAAGGGAGATGTTAAGGGATGTGGTGGTGGTTTTTTTCCCATGGGCAGCATCTCATTTTTTACCAAATGCCAACAGGGCTCTAGTTATGCAAAGAATAACCAGCTTCCTTAATATTGTGCAGGATTAATTCTGTGCCATCTGAAAGGACACTGTAATATTGAAGTAATAATGTTACTTGATGTAATATTGAAATATTATTAATCGTCTGTAACTTAGTGTGCTTATGGTTTATGTTAGAAGAACAGCTTCAGTTCATTATCACCATGGGGAATGTTCAGCTATGCATAGGGAAATAATTAATTCATTTCACTTATGGCTGGTGGTTGGGTGTTGAAGTCTTGAAATACTTGTATTTATGAAGAAAAAAAAATTTAAGACTTTTTCCTTTCTGTTTTTTGTAGAGCTTCAAAAAACAGACTACATGGTGTTTGCTGGGCGACAGTACTATTTAGGAGACAAGTGTCAGGTTAGTACTTGAAGCAGATTTGGAGGTGGTAAGTTATTGCTTTAAATGGAGTGTGGTAAGTCATAGAATCATTTAACTTAATAGAATTTTCCAAAGCTTTTCTCGTTCCCATCCTTGTACCTATTAATCTGTCATTTTAGCTACATTTTGTTTTAAAATCTAAGCTTAAGGATAGGCTAGTGTGATTAAAAGGCTGCTTTGAAGTTCATTGGGCACTAGTGATTTGTATTCTGCTGGACTGAGAGCTCAAGAAACAGTGCATGTTTGAGGCGGTTATGTGTTAAAGCTGCCACTGGGGGTCACCTGCAAGTCTGGGCATTCTTCCCTCTGCTCTATAAATGAAGGAGGAAAGGGTGGGGGGCAGAGAAAGAGGAAGGGGGGGTACAAGACAAGGGCAAGAGATGCTGAAAGGAAGTTCAGCTTTTTTTGTATTACCATGTTGTAGGAAGCAAGGATTTTTCCTTTATCGCTTTGTATGAGGTGATACTGCTTGCTCATTTAGTGACTTATTTGTAATCAAGTAGAGCTTTTYTCTCCAATTGCCAAGCTTATCTTCTGTTCTGCTCAAACTCTTAAATAATGCTTTTCCCTGGTAGTTATCTACCAGGCACAAGGTATAAAAGTAAGTCAAACTTTTGAACTTGTCTTCTTAACTTGTCTTCATTCACAAGTTCTTTTGCAATGTTTCCTTTCTGTTCCTTTCTTCTTCAGGTTAGTGTAGTGCCCTTTATCTTGCCCCTGTATTGAAGAAATAGTTGAGGCTCTTGAGCCAACTCGGTAATCTGTGGCCCCCTAGAAAACAGTCTTTGCTATTAGTGGTTTGTAAGAAGTGTTTTGATCGTCCTGTTACTGTTTGACTTTTCTAGAGCTTCTCATTCTCTCTCAGGTACGTCTGGAGCCCGGAGGTAAGTATTACAATGCTCATATCCAGGAGGTTGGACAGGATGGCAACATGGTGACTGTGTTCATTGAAGAACTGGCRGAAAAGTAAGCAGTCTGGTGACAACTTAAAATGTTGAGGTCTTTCTGGTTGAGTCTGTGTGCTTGGATCTGACAGATGTCTTAAGTAGGATTACTAGAGTCTAAGAAGAAAGGAGAATCCAGGCTTTCAAATAAAAAGCAAGGTTACTGGAGATATGTTTACTTACTGGCTATCACTGTTACAGGAAAACTATTTTCTTAGATTTCTAATGGTCCAAATCAGTACGGTGATGCTTATTGGAAAGTTCTGCTGTTCTGCCTCTTCTTTCAAATGTTGTTTTAAAAAAAATGATCTCTGCTGTTTGGGTTGACTTCATGGACAGCAAATTAGTCTGTTACTTCACTGTAAAGTTTACATTGTAACACCACAAAATATGAATATTTATCACATCTTCTGACAACAAATCTAATAATTTTCTCCATCTTGTTGTTTAAAGTATTCTCCCTTCAAATCTAAAATTAGGTGTGTCTACATGCTCTGTTCTGTTGTACCTGTGAAACATTACATTTGTAGAGAAGAGCAAATGTAGAGAAGAAATTCAGCCCAGCAGGCTAACAGAGTGGTGTTGAGATTAAATCCTGCCTTGCCTTTTTTGATGTAAAAATAGCAATAACGTGTTGGATATTGGAGAAACTGGATAAAGCTGTAGGGAGCTTGTGGAAATAACAGACAAGCTTGTACTTTCCCCTGCTTCCTTACTCCCTCTTTCCCATCCATCTTGCTGTTGTGTGGTTAGGCATGGTGTATTCTTCTGGCACTGCTAATGTCAGTATTTTTCACATAGGCATATGGTTCCACTGGCAAACCTAAAACCAGTGACACAAGTGGCACCTGTCCTTGCTTGGAATGTGGTTCCTAGCCGTAAAGGAGGAAGCTATCAGAAGTTAACAGGTGGATACTTTTCAGGAATAGGTTTGTATTGGATTTCAACACTTTTTTTTTTTTTTTCCCTTCCCTCCTTGCTCTTCTGAGGGGAAGACCACCAGTTTCAATAGGAGCAGTCTGGTATTTTGAAGTGACTTGACTCAAACTGATGTAAAGCTTGCCATTGCAGGGGATTCGTGTAACAGGATTCTTCACAGAGAAGGATAAATTTACCCTTGCAAAAATAACAAGCCCATTGAACATATGTAGGGTTAGTATTGCTCAAAATTACCAAGGAAAAAAACAGCTTTTGAGAACAATATAAAAGTCTGTGTCCATGTATCTGCTTGTGAATTGGTTTTAGTAGGGATACATGGAAGGGCAAAGACTTCTACAGTCAAGTAGATACAGCCTCCATTTGTTTGATTTGGAAATAAGTCTCGTAATAAGTTTTTCATGAAGAGACTTTTATACCATGAGAATTATTCTCAAACTGACACGCTATAATCCCTTCATATTTTCTGAAGGCCCAATTGAGCTTTCAGAATAATGGTACGAAGTTGACATACCTCATTTTCGGAGTGGAGGTGTTACCAAGTCCAAATAATCTTTTCAAAAGCTAGAATATAACTCTGGAGTAAGTTATTTGACATCTGTATAGCCCATGTTTTTTGTCATCAATTGAAACTGCAGAAATGGATATGAAAACACGGAAGAGATTGCTTAAGAAAGTCCGTGGAAAGGAAGTTTTTATGACTGTGGCTTATAGTAGAGGTCAGCCAGTTCTYCCACCCCGGCTGCAGCATGGTATTCCTTCAGGGCGCTCTTCTCCAATCCACTGTGTGCAGAGTGGTGGAAACGTGGCACCTTATGAGCCCTATCATCCTCAGAATCCTCCTCAGAGACATGGCCGTGGATTTGGAATGCCGAGGTAGGAAGCCTTCAAAAGCTCTTGGAGATCATCACATGTTCTCTATTTGTTCTTGCYATAGGCTATAGCTAGGACAGAGTTTGTTCTGTTTAATAGCTTTTACAAGTGAGTTCCACCTGAGAGGCACTTCCTGGTAATTGCACCTTTTGCCCTTTAAACTTAGGGGATCTGCCCGATTTATAAACAGGCACAACATGGTTGGCCCTCAAATAGCATTCTACCCCAGTCCAGGAAAGAGATGCTATCAGAGMTATGACAATTTCTCCTACAGGTCCCGGTAAGTGACTGCAAACCTCTTTACAAAGCATTGCCATAAAGTTGGAGGTGGTGATGGGAGGGTTGAGTTGGCTCTTAATGGCGTGATAATGGGGACGCTGTGCTTCTCCAAAGATGAGAGAGTTAAAATCTAACAGCAAAACCAAAGTGAAGCTCTGGTTATTGCAGTTCTTAACCACTTTTCTCCTTTTTAAAGTTCATACAGCCGTAGTCGCCGTCAGATGCCGTGCATGAATAAGGAATGTCAGTATGGGTTTGTACCAGAAAATGGAGAGGACCCTCAAGGATCAGAAGAAACAATAACTTTCTATGAAATTGAAGAAGGAGATGAAACTGCTTTTCCTGCTTTACCAGTAAGTAAGGAACAGGAGATTTTATTTAGAAAATTCTAAAAATAAAAAGCAAAGGTTATACAAATGCACCTCATCTAAGTACAGCATCTCTGCTTCCTGAGATGAGCTTTAGCATTCAACATACTTGGGAGAAGTGAGGGCTGAAATGAGGCTAGAGGCTGCAAAACCTACTTAAAATCTCTTTTTTTCCCTCCCAAGTGTTCTGCACGCAGTTGTTTTATTTTCTATTTAGTCTATTTTGATACAGGTAGGATCACTTTAATTCTTTCTATTGCAGTTTGATAACAAGAGGCTTAGGATAAAATAACATCCTCTTCTGCATGTCTGCTATCTAGGTCTAAACATTGTGGGAGTAAGCTCTTCACTTGTTTGCCACACTGTAATTTATGATTTGTGTAACTAGATTTGTGTACCCTAGATTCAGAAGCTGTATAGTGATAGTCTGTATTGCTCTTATGAATTCACAGGAGGGATAACTTGGACTAGCATGCTGTTCCTAGAAGGGTATCTTCTGCTATAGCAATTGGGGGGGGGGAAACAGACTTCTTTTTAAAGTAATCTTGAAGGCTGTTCTGTAGATGAAGTGGCACTGCATTCTTAAAATTTTTAATCAGTCTTCTATTTATCTAAATTTAGTGCAAATTGCTGCAAAAATTGTTAGGTGTTTTGCCATCCGAATAGGAAAGCAGCTCTTCTAAAAACTGGTAAATTTGAGACTTCCTTATTGCATGAAGGCAGTGGAAAACACAATTGCAGACTTAGAGAATCTGCTCAGGGTTATTTCATCAGCTGTTCGCTGCTGCCTCCTACTATGCTAGATCTGTGATCTTTGCCCTGTGATTCCAACCAAGAATGTCAAGTAATAAAGACAGATTATCCTGTATATATAAATATTCCTTTTACAGGCATGACTTCAATATAGCTTAGTAGCTTTCCATCCCCTTTGCTAGACTAAACTGTTGCAGCTGCTACTGAATAATTGCTCATGTTTGTTCAACCACTTTGTCAATGCCAAAGTCTTTTTCTCTATCTCTTCCTTGTCTTGTTTATTAAAGGAATTTAACATTTCCTGGGGAAAGTGGCATCTCATAGAAAACTGCCATCCTACTAGAGGCCTGGTGGGAGACTCTTCTGACTTACAACCTCTACTTCAACCTTGGGAATTCAGAAGCTTCTCTAAGCACTTKATCAGTTTCATAGTCATCGTGTCTTCTGAGGAGAATTGAGGGTCACCTTAGCCATTACAAAGGAGTGAATTAACATCCTGTACTCGTGCATCTCAGTCCTGTGCTCCTGCTTCTTCAGACAACTCTAGRTTTCTGAATTGTGGTGCATCTAAGGACTGACTTCCTCACAGAGGACACATGAGGAATTACAGGGGTAATTCCCTGTTGGGTGCTTCTTGTGAGAAGTCAGGCTTGCATGCATGGGTCCAGTTAGAGCAAGCAGTGAGGTCTGTGCTGATTGCCAATGGGGCTAAAAACCTCTTCCTCTAAGAACTGGAGAGTTTGAACCATTCTGTTGGTGGAAGTGCTCCAGGATGAAGAATGTGCAAGTATATATTGGAGGTAGATAAAGAGTCTTGGCCTGCTCTCTGTGGTCTGTCCCCACTTAGTTTTAACCYGAAACAAAGTTGACTCCACGTTGGAGTGCAGCAGCTTGAATGGGTTGCATGGGACAGTGATAGCTTTTCAAAGATGAATTGCTCTGTGTGCTGGGTGGAACAAAAGCTGAAGGGAAGATGCATGTCCACAAGTATTTTGYGATATGGGGGATGCAAAGGAACAGCACACAAATTGCAGTTATAGTAAGTGGTTGCAGCAAACTTGTTCTGCCTGCCTGTTTGGAGATGATGGGGAGGCTCTGCTGTGTCCCTGTGGTGTGGGGAAGGGCATGTACAGTTCTAAAATGCACACTATTGCTTTCTGCTTTCCAGAGCCAGAGTGGCCCTGCTCCCATTGTTCATAGTCCAGCAGGGTTCTGGGTAGCAGGGAGAGGCCCCAACTCTGTTCCAGCAAATAAGCAGGCCCTGAATTCCTCGGAGGAGGAATTGGAAGAAACAGCTGAAAACGGTGAGTGCTGAAAGGATCAGTGAGAGGAGAGGAAAGACAGATTCAAAGATCTGCAGTATGCCTCTGATCACTGAAGAGTGTTGTGTGCATCTCCTAAAGTGTGCTTTGAACATGTGTGTGTGAGTCTTTGCTGTCTTTTCTACACAGATGATTAGTGTCTCTCAACAGTGATATTTCTTAGCTTTCAGTTGYATGCATTTTAAAGTATGTTAGGTCAGACTATGCTGTGATTGTTTCAAGTTCTAGAAACTTTTTTCTTTGTGTATGGTTGTATTTTGTTTTGCCTTTTTTTCCCCCTGSTCTCCAGAAGCATTTGAGAGAGGGCATTTAGTTTCATATATCAACTTTGAAAACAAGGAGTTTGGGAGAGGGCCAGTAGCTCTTTCCTCCTTTTTTTAGTCTTAAATCAGTACCTGTAATTTACAGTAGAGAAGAATGAGAAATGTAAACTTCCAGATTTCATCATCTTGGTTCAGCTGTAACACTTCCTGTGAGCAACTTGGAGCAATGTATTATGTTATGTTTTACTACCTGTTTGAGAGACTGTCTCCTTATCCCCCTCCAGAAAGTTTCTGTAGCCTCTTCTATCTTCTATAGCCTCATGATTTATATGAAATCATGAGTTCCTATTTTGGTGGTTGGGGGGAGGGTGGAAGATAATACTTCTTTTCAAAGCTGACATAAAATGAAAGCTAATGTCTAACACCTTACAGCTCTGATTAAAGTCCATAAACTCAGACCTACAGTGACTTTGATAGGAATTTCAATTTTAAGTTTGTTTTGGTATCTGTAGGTGGAGATAGTGCCTCAGGATTTCAACTCAAATAATGTTAACAGGGGGAATTGACTGTTGGTTTGAACCTTTTAAGAAAACTTTAACAGGTTTTTGCTTGGCATTTTGTGGTGGGGGTTTGTGCTTCCCCTGATGGTAGTTCAGTTTCATAGTTTCATGTTAGCTGATGCACAGAGGTGCTAATTGTCATCGCTTCTGCTTTAACACCATCCTTTCCCMCCCTCTGAAAAATTAAAGCTTCCTGTTCTTTCCCTTCTAGGGAAGTTTCATGAAGAATATATCTATGCACCTTCAGGTGAGTAAAACTTGGTCTCTTCTAATACAACGTGTGATGATTGCATTGCAGTCATCAAATCTTAAAAAGTTTCTGAAAGATTAGATTTAATGTCACTTTCTCAATTAATTTTGCCCATGCCCTCCAGATCCAGACTGCGAAACTGCAACAGTATTTAGTTCAGCAGAACCTACAGCAAACTTGGTAAGATTTAGTCATGGTCTGTTTGGATTAGGAATCCCTGRACTACTTGACATTCTTTATTTAAAAATTGTTCTTGGAAGCAGGCTTACTGCAGCAGATCAGAGACCATTTTTGGAAGAAAGGAATGCTGGTTTCATTTAATTTATCTCTTCTCTTTTCCTATTACACAGCTTCTTTTTTTTTTTCCACTCTTGTCTCTGAGTTTGCAAGTGCAGTCTGAACTGTACCAGGCATGTGCCCCCTTTGTGGAGGACAAGGCAGGAAATCATTAATGGATTTGAGACCTGTTTACTCTTCTCCTGCTCCAAATAGCCCTTGCTTTTATTATGTTATGCTGGATGTTTTGTTCCAGTTAGTCTTAACTGCCCTACAGTGGAACTGCATTGGTCTTGTCTTTGAGAGAACCAGCTTTGGGATTTTCTTTTATTACCTAAGACTAGATCTGGACTGTGACYTCTCCTTTCAGTCACCTGCTGGGTACATTGGGTATAAAAGCTTATGCATGTCAGAATGAAACTGACTTTACCTTTCTAGCTAAAAATTCTGTTTGTACATATGTGTGTGTACATATATGTATGCATGATGTATATAGTTTTTATATACACACCCATAGCTGTACACACCAAAAGCTTAAAAACTTCCTAATCCTTTAAATTCTCTGCCCTCTAAATGGATTACACTTTGCTTTGCAGTCCCTTCAGGAAGAAGGGACGATGTCTGTCTCACCTCAGGATGGAGTTGCTTCCTACAGCTATCCCCAGAAGGTAATAACTTGTGCTTCAGTAGGGCAGCCTTGGGGAGGGGGGCTTGCTGCACTCGGTCTCTCCATGTGCTGCCCTCTTGTAGTCTTGTAGCAAAGAATGCAGCCCCCTGTAATTATAAGTAAAACAAAACGGTGGGAAGAGGGATTGCAGGTGCTTGCAACTCTGTTTTTGGACTGGAATTTCTCAAGCCAATTTTAGGGAACCTAAGTAGCTGGAAGCACTTTGAATGTGCTAACTAATGTGAACTGAGACTTCATGAACTATGTTAATTCCAAAACTTGCRTAGTCTTTGTCAAAGGTAGTGTTTGGAGTTAATGTGCTGGTCCTGTGGCTGTTTTGCAGGTGATGGTGAATTCTGCAGTGATCTCAAACTCCACCTGTGTTAATGCTGCTCCAGCTACAGTTTTYTCCTCAAATTCTGCCACTTCCACTCAAGCCAGTGTCACAACAGCAGYTCCTCCGCAGACAGCAGTGCAACCAATCCTAGTATCACCCCCTTCTATAGGGAGGCCAGGTAGGGTGTGGATATTGAGGCAAGGGATCAAGTACATAGGTTTTTAGTTACTGTACTCCCCTTGCTTTTTTTCCTTGTTCTACCAGTCCCAAACAAATATTGAAGCGGTTCTAGAGAACACAATTGAACTGTAATATGGAACTTGTGTAGTTAAGAGCACAGTTAAGACTTSTGAGATTGGAACATCTTATGAAATGGGAGTGATTAGTAAAGAAAGCTATTAAAATTATAAACTCTCAGGTGACCGGGAAGAAGTACATGCTTAACTGTAACTTTGCATGCTGCTCATTTAAAATATCATTGCAAGTTTTACTTGACCTTTGTTTCTTTTTCATAGTAGCAGTTYCTTCGGTGCCGTTCCCGGTTTATTCTGCTCCACTTCCTCCAGTCAGCGAGGTGGGAGACGCTGGTGCTGCTCCTCCGCCCTACTCCTGTGATCCCAGTGGCAGTGATCTACCACGAGGTAATGAGGGGGGGTGAAAAGATCAGCATAGCACCTACCAGCAAAGCAGCTCTGAGTCACCTTTCAGCTTTACCTGGCTGTTGAACCTGGGTTTCTTTTCTAAAATAGTAGAAATTCTTGATTAATCAACTTGCTCTTACAGGTTAAGAATACAATCTTGCATRATAAGCAGGTATCAAACAGCTGAGTTCAGTAAACAGTGCAGCATGCATCATATTTGCCTTCTGAGCTATTAATTTCACGGCTCTCAAGACTCGATCAAGGCCAGCAATTCAGGAGAGCTTTGCTTAACTCAAGAATTGAGCTGTCTGCTRTCAGCAGTACTGGCAAAGGGCCCCTGTCACAGGGACAACAGTATTGCTTATTATTATGCTGTATAGCTTGTTTTTTTTCTTTTTTTTTGCTAGCTAAGAGAGTAGCTGAGACTGGAGTGTCACCTTCAGATTGCTGCACTAATCTCAAAAGGCARATAAAACTGATGTAGGATGCAGCCTTGCCCTAACTGCTAAAGGACTGCTTGGCAGTAGTTTTGGACAGCTGTTGTGAAATTGTTGAGAAATGTTGTCTGTTCCCCATGTGTGTCTTCTGACAGTGCATTGACTCAAACTKCAGCAAGGGTTAAAAACTGAGGCTGTAAAAGCAAAACTGTTTACTCAGCYGGCTTATCCTCTGCCAGCAATGTTCAGCTTGACCTTACATGCAGTGCCCAGGCCTGGGCAGGAATGGGCTGCAGTTCGGTTGCAGCTGTACCTCTGCTGCCCCTATAGCACATGAAAGTCTCAGCTATTTCTGCCTTTCTTGGCTGACTGGGAGGGCCCTCTGAGTGGGGCTATTTCTGGCAATAGTGAGACCAAGCTAGGCATAAGCTATAGTCTGCCCTCGAGCAGAAATGCAAATTTGGCTGGTTGTCTTGCTTTCTGCCCTCATAGTGGGTACAGATCTGCATGTGGCTGGAGATGTGTGTGCTCTTCGCATGCCTKCTGCCCACGATGGGTTGAATATGGTGAATGTCTGTGCATCATAGCCACTTCAGTAATAGCCACTTCAGTAATCTTCTGTAGGTACASCAGATGGTATTTTAAAAGCTTATTATGTTGAATTCAAGTTTCTGTATTTCCTGCTCTCTCTATTGCTGGTGTAGAGAAGAGTTTTGTTTAGGGGTGARTGAGGAAAGGAACTAGTACTCTGTATGTACATATGCACACGTGTGCACACTTCTTTTATAGATATATATATACACACACATGATCTGTGAAAACTAGGGTTTCCTTTTTGCCTTGTTTCAAAGGATGAGCTCTCCCTAATTGCCTGGATGAACTTCCTTCCTCCCCACTTGATGGGGCATTTTAGGCTAACTTCTGTGTTCAGAATATCAAGGACAGGTTTCATTTACTTCTGCATTACTTGTAACACAAAWTACTTCTGTAACACAACTTTTTTACACTTGATTCAACGTATTGTTATCTAAAGTAGCTCTGTTGTCCCTGACTGCAACTTTCTTTGAAGTGCTAATGCTAGATGGACTGTTTCAAACACCAGAGACAYTCCTGGTAGCTGCAGTTCAGGGAGGTGCGTCTGGCTGTGGGGCAGCCCTGGGCCAAAAAGATAACCCTTATCAGCTGTGTTTCCTATGCAACATGCCTCTGCTGCCAGAAGCTGATGTGGAGGAGAGCAAGATGTGTAGTGTTACGGCACAGCTGCTACAAGCTCTGCTAGCTCAAGTATTGCTAATGCAGTACTGCTGCTGCAGTAACTGTTCTTACAGGTGCTCTCCATTTTACTGATCTTGAATATCCTATTTTTCATGCTCTTACTGCAAAAGAATCATTTTCAATGGAACTAAGCATACATCAGAGTTAATTGTCTTCAACTTTAGCTGAATATCCTTAACTGAGGCTTTCGGCACTTGGGAGAATTGGGTGTTAAGTGTGCTGACAAGAATCTGGAGTGGATGTGGATTAATAGCCTCTTCAGTCCCTGCCTGCAGCTCTTCTGCTGACTCTCTCCACCTAATATCTGCCATGTCCTTCAGGCACAAACTTTTTTAGAATTTCAAGGATGATGGCTGATAAGGAATCACATACAGTGTTTGTGCTGTCACTGCTGCAGTGCAACCTCCATGGCCATTAAATTAAGAAACCCAGGTTCATTACTGTAGCGGATAAGCTGCTCAGCTGTTCTTGACCTGTAGTTCTACCTGCCTCTGGGTTAAGAGGGGCTGATGTTTGACCTGATGGAGTCTGACTTGTGAAGAAACTAAGGTGGTAGATGAGGGAGGAAAACAAGCCAGGTGCCTTAGTGTTTATTTGTGCATCTGTCTGTCTTAATTTTAAGACCATCTTGGATCTCTTTCAATAGCGTCTGGGCTTGTAAAACATGTTTGATGCAGGAAGCTTAGGTATCTGACCATGCTCCCTTGTATTTGAGGAAGCTGTCAATAAGACTGCTTGATACTGCTGTGTTCTGGAGACAGCTTTCCCTGCAGGAGCATGGGAACTGATGAGAGCCACTCCAGCACAGTAAAAACCCTACAATGCATGGGGATGTGGTTCTCAACAAGGTTTTACTGGTAGCTGACACGTGCTCTATATTTTGGTGTCAGGGTGGCTAACTCAGTTTAGCTGTTGCTTCATTAAGTTGCTTGATGTTTCATTGAGGATCATCTTGATTTCTAGACATCTAAAAACAAACAAAAACTGGTCGCCTGCTGTACTTGCTTCTGCTCCAGTATTCCACAGACTTCAGTATTTCCAGTATGGGTTTGTCACTTCAGTCTCTCAGTTCATCCTTTGTACTGTTAGCTCTGCTAGGAAGCAGCTGTTTCATTCAGCTCATATGCTTGTTTTGCATAGATTTGCATTAATAATTGAAGAACAAATCGGATTTTAAAGAACTCTTTGCGAACATAGTTGTTAAAGGCATAAAAGCTCACATTTTTGAGTTTTAAGGCTATTTTTAATATTTCACTGACGGGGTCTGTGTTGCAGCTGAAGCACCTCTGCTTTTGTGAGGAAGCCAAGAGCTGCCGGGAGCGAGGAGCCTGTGTAATCCCTGACAGGGCTCAGCAGGGTGTTGCCCCTGATCAAATACGCTGGGCAGTGAAAGAGCTGAGAATTGACAACAGAGGGAATGAATCCTCGTTAATTGCAGAGCTGGGTTTGTCTTCTCCGTACCACGTGTGTCYGCACGGGATGGGAGCTGAAGGGCAGCCCAGGAGGGCGAGCGCAGCGGGCGGCGGGAGCTGGGGCGCTGGGTGAGGGCAGGGAGCCGGGTGCCTCGCTTGTCACCTTGGGGTGTCTCCCATTGTGCTGCTCAGCTTTCCAGCTCCTCACAGTGCTAATCAAATGACTAATCTGCCTTTGTGTGTGCAAGTGTACTGCTGTGGAATGGGCGACTTGCTYTCCTGCCTAAGCATTTTGAAACAAATTTTTTTTTCTCCCACGTTGAGAAATTAACCATTTTTTCTCATTGTACGTGCCAGCTCTGCATTATAGGAGGAAGAATGTGCTTTTCCTCTTGCTCATCACCTTTCCCCTCCTTGCCTGCCTTCTCCCCATGGCAAACTTRACAGTTTTTGAACTGCTTAATTCTTCTGGATATTTGAAATCCATTTCCAAGTTCAAAACTATTATTCTTGCTGAGTGTTTTAAAAGTCCTTCCAYGCTTTTGGGATTACTTGTCAGAGTAGCATATATTTGCCTGGGGGCAAATTATTCAATTTGTGGATGACAGAAGTCGAAGGCTAGCTGCAAGAAGGCAGGAAGCTGGGTACCCTTTGATCCTCGTGAGGAAGGTGAAGGAAGGAACATCTCCCTTTAGATCAAATCAATATGGGAAGAATCAAAAAAGCCTCGTCCTTCAGGTTCTAGGATGGTACATATGTTGTCCCAATTGATGTTTCTCTGTAAGGTTATTGCTCAAAAGTGTGGAAGCTGGAGACGGTAGGAAGCAGTGGGAACCTGGAATCTCGGTGGAGTTAGACCCTCTTCTCGCATGCTAACCCTGCATGGTTATTTTCAGGTTCTTATTGGGTGTTAATTTTTTTCCTCTGAAAGCCCAGCTTTAATAGGAAGTCAGGGTTGCTAATCGAAGTGCAGGTATTCTGTGGGGCCTGGTAACACTGTCTCTTATCAGTCAACTGATCAAGATGAATAAACCAGAATCAAAGTTAACATAATCACTGCAGTCTGATTCAGTGTTGATTAGCTGTTATGTTACTCTAACAAGTAATCTATGTCATACTGGATTAATCTACCTAAAAATATGCATAGCTCTTAAATCTAGTGATATTCAAGATACACTTTTAATCTTAAAACTTTTCAAAAAAAAAAGTAGAAATAACCTAAAATGAAATGCTCTTAATGTGTGTGAATTTCTGTTCCTCCTTATTCTTTGCTCTTCTGCTCTTCCTAATGTCATGTCCTTTGATTTCAGATACAAAGGTTTTGCAGTACTATTTTAATCTGGGATTGCAAGTAAGTGCTTTTAAAATGACTATACTAAATTGCCTGTAAAAACTGCTGCTTGTCTTGACAGATGTACTGATGCATTTGAGGCTTAGCAGTGTGCTAAATGTGCATCCTGTGCACTTGACTATTAATACATACAGGTTTTCTTGGAGTTCAAGTAGAGCTCAAGAAGTGAGACTTTAACCTGAATCACAAAACACATTAGTACATCTAGTTGTTTCACTCTGATTTTTTTTCAGAGGGTAGTGGATAAATGCAGTCTCTCTTATGAAGATAACACCTTAAACTCCTCCCTTTAAGAAAACTGTGGATGTGCACATTGAATACCACTAATATGAGTGGTTCGAGTGCTCTAGGACTTGCTCAGCTGCATTCAGACTGGTTACCACCACTTAGTGCTCTGGAAGTCTTTACTGTGCTTAAGAGTTGTCCTTGGCACAACAGGCAGCGTTGGGGCTGCTATGCAGGGAGACAAAAATGCTCCTGCAGCTGGAGAAATAATCCTCTGACTCTCTCAGAGTCAGTAAGATGGAAATGTTGATTCTCTGTAAAGATGTGTAACAAGGAACTGCAACTTAGATCTGGAAGCAAAATAGGTGACTGGGCTTGCAATAGCTTTTCTGGCAGCCTGTTTTGGGGGGAAGGGAGGGGAAGGAGGATGTACCATCATCTTAAAAATAAGAAAATATGCTTCCTACTTTTATATCTGAAAATGAAGGTATCTGGAGGAGGAATAGAGACTGTATATGTGTGGCCATAGCCTTGATATTTTTCTCCCTCTTTCTGAAGTATTATCATCAGAGCTATTGGCATTCCATGGTGTACGTACAGCCAGTGCCACCGCCGTCAGCTGTGGAAGCTTATCCAGCGTATCCCGAGCCTGCTCCGGCCCTGGAGCAGCCAGTACCTCAGCTCTACACCGATACTGGGAGGCCTGAAGTCCATCAAGTTCCCCTGGAAGCCCCTGCAAATGGTTAGTATTTAAGACCACATACATGAGTTAAGAGAAGCTAGAGAAGGGATTTCTAGACTGACTGCTCAATGGCAGCCTGTTATCCAGTGGGAAGCATTTGTCTTGGAGGGTGCACAGTGCTAGCCTTTAATGGGTCATTGCAGTTCCTCTGCAGTCTCTGGTAATACTCAAGGTTATGTCAGCACTGCTGTTAGTCACTAATGTCGAGGGCTTTGTAAAGCCATAAAGAAAAATAGTCTGTTCCAGCTTGGTACACTACTTTGGAAAAACTTTCTGAAATTGTTGGATATGTGTCTGTCTATTGATACTAATTTATTGTCTTATAATGAAGATATCAAAATAGAGTGCATGTACTTACAGTGAGGGAGACAGGCTTTGGCAAGCTCTGCACTGGTGCTGTCCCTCCATAGGATGTGGGGGATTTTTTTGTGTATGTTTAAGAGAAATGGTATACCCCTTGTTTCCAGGCTTTGCATGCTCAGTCATTACTTTAAGTAGCCATTATTGCTGGCAATGTTTGTTTTGCATAAAAGAGCAAATTTAGCACAGCCTAGCAGTTTTGTATCAAGCTTGTATATTTGGTAGTAAATAAAAGGATTGCATTAAATGAGGAAAAATTTCAAAAGGCCAGATACCTGGCTCATTAAAAGTGTGAAACATGGCATATGGTCAGTATTGGAAAAGAGTGTGTGAGAATGAAATGATTGTTTAGAGGAAGACAGGCTTAATGGTGTTCAGATAATATTTTAGCCAGCTGAAGTGTCTGTTTTGCTTCAGTTTTGTATGTAGTCAGAGGTTAAATAGAGGCAAGAATACCATGTTTTACCTAGTTCATGTTTTACCTGGTGGTTCTTAAAGTTGCCTCTCTTAACGTAGGCTGCTGTTACGAAATTCATGAGTAAAGTTCTCTGAAGATGAGTAAGTTGCCTTCTAGTTTCAGGACCTGAGATGATCCTCCCTCCTGTGTTAGGAGGGATATATATGGAATGAATTTTCTCATTTACCTCGTTTAATGCCGTTCATGGCAATGATGATCTATATAAAAACACTTGCAAAGCTTAAAATATGGCGATTCTGTCTAGGGTGTATTTTGTTTTGCTTTTTTAAGGTCACTTTCCAAATGCGGAGCCTCCACCCCCATCCCACGGAACAGTGTATTATCCGGTGGTGTCGGATCCCTTCAACCAGCCGCCTCTCCCTGGGTTTGACTCTTGTATCTCTTTAGTACCCACCTACCACTACATTAGTTCCTGGCACCCAGTAAATCCATCCTATGGGAATTCTCCCCGAGTTCCTAATGCTGTAAGTTCTGGACCACTGCACCAAGTCAGCTATATTGCCTCACCTAACCCCGCACCGCACTATGTGCCTCAAGGAATGTGAACCCCAGAGATGTGTGAGCTCACTCTTTGCACTTGGTTTCTCTTGTTTCTTTTTTTGTCAACTATATGTTTATATTGTTTCATAACTGCTATCCCACCCCAGTGGGCTGGGTGCTGGTTGAGTAAACTGTATTCAAATTTCATGTTTCTCTTCTGGTTTATGCTAATGATACTCAGCTTGGAAAGGTGGTGTTCTGGTGGATTCCATGGGAGAGCATGGTAAAAGGCTTCACAGGAACTGTAGTGCTGGGAAACACAATGCTTGTATTTGATTATATAAAATAAATATGTATGAAAACATGCACTTGTCACTAAAGGAAACTTGCATCGTGCCTCTCCATGTGAGGGGTTGCACTGGAACACTTGGTCACGTGGTTCTTTCTTGTTTAAGTAGTAAAATAGGCTGCTGGTGCAACTAAGACTTTAAAACTAGGTGCAGGGTCATTGAGGACAAAAATTATTTAAAATAGATTGACATTCTCAGCTTTCCCAAAACRAAACTCTATTTGCCACAAGTGATCACATACTTGACTAGTGTTCTTGAATAGCGTTCAGCTTCTGCGTTTTCTCTAATTCCATTCTGCATTGGCTTCATGTCTCTTGAAGGTTGAAGAAGATTTTTGATCTGTTCTGCTGTACACTACTGTATATTTGTAAGATGAGGCTTGCGAAAGGTGTTGCACAGATGGTGGTAGTCTTGGTGTCAAAACTGCACTGATCACACAAAATAAAAGCATCTAACACACTGAAATGAGTGGTCATTTATCCCAGACAAGGTAAGCCTCTTAAAATGAGTTGTCCAGGAGGCTGCACTGAAGAAATGAACCGTGTCGTACGGGATAAGGCAGCTCATGTTCTGTCTTGCATTTTGGGGGGAAAGTTGGACAAGGAAAATGAGAGCAGCTCTTGGTGTAGGAAAAAAAAGTGCTCTAGAAATCTGGTTTTGTTAAAACTGCAGTGCTTGTGAGCTGCAGAAAACATGAGCTTGAGAAAACATGAGTAGTCTCTCTGTGACATCTTGATTCTCTGAACTGACTGTCCTTGATAGGGCAAAATCTTCAAGCAGTTGGTGCCAGCTGAGGAAACTGAAGCTTGTCTGACTTCTGTTTTGGGGTTTTTGTGCTGGTTTCTGAAAGYCAGGGCAGTCAGGTCATGCAGGGAATTGGAGTGCCTCCACATCCATTTGGTAAGTACAGGTAATAAATGCCATTTAGATTGGGAGAGAACCAGTAGCTTCAGAAAAACAACACATTTGCCTCTTGATTTAAACTTTGCCATCTCATGCTGCTCTGCACTTGCTTTTTCTCTTTTGTTCTTTGCTATATGGCTAAGTACCTGGGAAGAAGAGATTGCCTGCCCACAGCTAGGAAGTAGGGAAGATTATAATCCCTTTTTTAAGTGAACTTTGCAGCAAAAAGATAATAGGGGGGAAAAAAGTAACTCCTTTATAGCTTTCTCTTAAATTCATGCAGAGCTTCTAGTGTTGATTAGAGATGAGATTTGAAGGGGTCTGTCCTTTTTTTTCCCCTTTCAGAGGGTGGTGACTTACATGTCTAGAGGTTGGAAGCTTGCAAACGTGGCACTTAGTTTGTGTGTGTCTCTAGCTGCTGAGCTTGGCGGCCCAGYGCTGGCTTTGCAAGAGAAGAGCCAGGCGAAAACTCAAAGCATGAGGAAAACTGACCCCTCAACAGCAATGTGATTAAGAGCTTTTGAGCAGCTGTACTGCCTTTAACAACACTCATGTGTGTCTGCCTTTGCCTGCCACCCTGCGATGGGGATATCTATATATCTATATATCTATATATATATACACACATACCTATACACTATCAAATACTTGAAAGCAGAGAAGACCTTGGCCTTTGTATTTCTATCTCTTTGATATCTGAGCAACTGAAGGCTGCTCTGTTTTTGTCAGAAAAGGGAGAAGACCACAGGATTTTTTATACTTTTCTCTGAATTTCTCTGAAAAAGCCTGGAGTAGATGAATCTTTCCAGTCAGTCATTCTCATGGTTCTTTTGTGCTGCTTGTGCTCCTCCAGTGCAGGTARGTAAGTGCAGCCTTGGTGAGGCTGGAGTCACCAGCCGCTTGTGCATGTCCCTGCGCCCGGCCCCAGCAGCTGCCGCGTTGCAGGGACCGGTGTCTCTGGTGTCCTCCTGTGGTGGAGCAGCCAGGCTGCCCCTCTGCGAGTGAACGCTTTGGCCGAGGGCTGATACCCTCTTCAGAGGTGAGTTTGCCTCCTGTAGGCAGCTCTCAGTCTATTCAGTAGAGATGCTGGCTGATGGCTCTGCTCTYAGCAGAGCTTTTAGCCTCTAGGCCTATGTAGCAGCCGCAGCTTTTGGCATGCACCTTACCCACATGTGGGTAACGCTCTGCCCCCGAAACCCTCTTCATGGTGGTGCTGCGTGGCCCTGAGCCCCGGCTTGACCTCGTGCATGGAGGAAAGCCCTGCTGCTGAGGCTGGGTACCTCTGCTCCTGCCAGCGCTGCCTCGCTCTGAAGTAACTTTTTGATCCAGTAGCTAGGGAGGGCTGCTGGAAAAGCYACCCTTGTGTCCTGGAGTCTGTTAGCAGAGCTGCGCTGGCCTTATGGAGGGTGGCAGTGAGGGAGGTTGATCAGCTTGATCAGCTCCTGGGCTTGGGAGAACAAACAGCTGAGCCCTTGGTAGCTTAAGAAGCGGTAGGTTTGTGTTGCAGCAGGATAATGCAGCTTGGGTAAGAACCTGAAGGGAATGCTGGAGCTTCCTGCCTTGTGTTCTGTGCCTCAGCTGCTGTGGGATCTACCTGGTTCTGTGTTGTTAATAAAGGGGCTGTTGCAAAGAGTCCAGCCCTGCTGCAGGGAGCGCTGAGTGTGAAGGGAATTGTCCATTTCCTGAGCAAGCAGTTTTTAGGCCCAGCTGCAGTGGTGGCCGCTTCATCGTCAGGCACTGCAGAGGCCGTCAGCAGAACCCCTGGTGCTCCGGAGGCTGCGAGGAGCCCCCAGAGCCTGCGGCCCCTCGGGAAGGGCCATCCCTGCGGAGGCAGCGGGTGGACGGGCACCCGCCGGCTTGGTGCCAGGGCAGCGGCCTGGGACCGACAGGGGTCTGTCCCCGTCCCAGCAGGGCTGCGACGCTGCCCCACGGGCCTCTGCCACCCCCCACCATCCTGTGGCATTTCCAGAGCTGGAAAATGCTCCTGCTCCAGGCTTGATCTGTCTATATTAATGTCCCTGACAGCCCTTGCAGCAGCGCGCTGGAGGTGCACAGCTCTTTCTGAAGTCTTTTGAATTGTAAAATTCATCCATTATGGAAGGTAATTATTATAAATGCTGTAGAGAAAATCGGCCCCGCTGGCGCCTGCGGGCAGCAGGAGCCTGCAGGGCTCTCGCTGCCAGGGCACCACGCTGGGCCCTGCAGCCAGCTGCGCCTCGCGCCCGCTTGTGCTGTTGTGCTCTCAGCTCCCCCTTCTCGACGCGGTGCTCCTGAGTACCTTATTTATAAAATTATGCTGTCAAATACAGCTTGATATGTGGAGGATATTCAAATATAAATCCAGACCTATGCTTCTATGTAATTGCTACTTTCATGATAGAGGGAGACGGAACTCCTGGAATGGGGCCTCTATGTTTTTGAAATAAGAGTGGAGTTTAAATTTTGCAGGGCAGGTCTGTATCTGGAAAGGGTAGTGGTTGTGGCAGCATCAGCCCCAGGCCGGGAGCGCAGCCGAGGCAGTTACTGCGATTCGGTCCTCTCCGAGTGATGGGAAATCTGCGGGAGCAGGAACGTATGTCCCGCTCCTCCTGGGCTTGTGTCTGCATGTGCCGGATCTGCTCAGGGCAATGTTTACTTCCCCGACGTTGACTCCTGCCTTTGCTGGAGCCAGCGCAGGCATCACCTTCGGCAAAGGGCCGGGTACCGGGATTCCTGCCAGGATAAGGGCTGTTGTTGTTCCTATTACAGCCGTTGTCACGGCCAGGGCAGTGCTCGACTTTGTGCTGCTGGAGAAAACACCCTGTAATGATGAAAATGAGCAGCCCCTCTAGCCCCCGCTACCCCCTTCTCTCCTGATGTGGTTCAAACTCTGCAGATGTGGAGCCCTGTTGTCCTTGGGCTCTGCTCCGGCTCACGGAGTGCACAGTGTTTCTCCATGCACGTGTCCACCCTGCCTCCTTCCCGGCAGATCTCCTGTCCCCAGGAAAGGGCTGTTGTCCTTGTACAGCTTTCCCGGACACTTGGCCCCAGGAACAGCGCGGGGAGCCCCCACCCTGCCCTGTTACCTGGGCTGCTTTGGTGGCTCCTGCYCAGGGGCAGCTTCCCGTGAGCAGGTTGTGGCCCCCGACCATTAGCAACCCCCGACAGGGCTGCCCTGACTGGGGTCGGTGCTCGTAACCCGTCAGACCCAGTGCTGTTCATCAATGTTTATTATCAATAGGCAGCTGGAAACGTTACATCTGAAAAGGTAGAAACACCTTGAATTTCAATAGGCTTACATTTTCAGGAAAAAAGTTAAATGCTTTTTTTTTTTTTTTTTCAGTTTACAGTTAAGCTAAAAACACACATAAAATAAATAATTTTATTTATTATATACACTTCTATTTTACATGCTATGTAGCAAATGACATGGAGTCTGACCTGTGAACAGAAAAGATAAAGTAGAAAAGTAGATAAAACAAAGTGTTTTTGCTTTTTTTGCCTTTGTTGCTCCCCGGCTCACTTCGTGGGTGCCCCTGTCCTCCCTTGGCCATTGCATGGGCGAAACTGCAGCAGCCAGGAGCCCTTCTGCCTGGAAGGGCCTCTAACATTTTTGACCAAGAATAAAACATGAGGTTTTTCTCCTCTTTTAGTTTAAGTGTGACTTGAAACTATGATTGGGTGGAAAGTTATTCCTGTGCAGGCTTTTTTCATGAAGGTTTAATTTGATACTGAAACTTGATTGCTTAAGAACCTAAAGTGACCGCCCGCAGCGCCCGGTTCTCCAGGGCCTGAGGTGCAGAGAAGAGGCGGCCCCGGTGTCTGCAGCTCCCTCTGTGTGCCAAGGAGCCCTGGCCCTCTGGTTCCCAGAGCCTCCTCTTAAAGAAAACTCCGCAATACCCCCAAAATGCTGGACCAAGACGCTCCCCTTCCTCTAAAACAGCTATTTATTTCAAAAGGCCTTTCCTTCCCTTGGCGAAGGTATCACGGTGTTCAGCCCGAGTTGTGTGCAGCGGGGCTGAGCTTGCGGCTTCTCCTGGAYGTTCCTGTTGCTCCAGAAAGGGTTTAAATGGGAAAAGAAATCACCCAGGGAAATGAAATAAGCTGGGCTGAAGGTTACTGTAAGAGCCCAAGGAGAYGGATGCTGCTGTTCTGCAGACCTCCTGGGTCTTTGGGTCAAGGAGGAATCGTTGGGTCAGTTGCCTCTTAACAGTGTGGTGGTTGGATTGTGGTGGGATTTCTGGTTTGGGATTGTTTTGTTGGCTTGT